CTGATTATGGAATTATGTTATCTGAAATACTTATTCCTTTTAACTGTAACTGCATCTTAATATAAAGGAAAAACTAATTGAGAGACTATCATAGTATATGTTTTCATTAAAATGGTAAAGGGTAAAAATTGTACCAGGATCTGCAAACCACTTCTTGAGCTTTTGCTGATGTAGCTAGAATACTTATTAGAATTAATTCCCAGTAGCAGCAAGGACAAAGTAGATATCAAGGTAATTGGTTGTTAAATAAAAAAAATACTCTGCATATTTTAGTAACCTTTATTAGAATTCTGGCCAAAATATTCCTTCTTACTTGATATCCTCAGTATATTTCCATTTCATTCCATTCCATTTCTATTCCAATCCCATTTTTTCTCCAAGCAAAAACAAAAGATATATTTGTGTATTTCTTGTCTACTTGCAGTATTTGCTATTCACTTATATACAAACCATTTAAATAAATCTGACAAAAGGAAGAAAGCAAGACTTGAATAGTGGTTACATAAACTATTCATTTTTAAAATAGTAATTTTATTGAAGTCTACAATTCTACAAAGAAAAAGAAAAAGAAAATATATAGCATAGAATCATGGGGCTTCAAGGTCTTTTAGTTCAACTCCTGGCCAAAGCAGGAGACCATCCCCCCAAATTCTCCAATCTTTGTCCAATCAATTCTGACCTCCCCCTTCATCCCAACTATTCACATAGTCCTTGACTTATGAACCCAATGGAGCCTGCCCGTTAAGGTTGCAAGTCATGATGGTCATAAAGGAGTTCATCATGTGACCGAGCCGATTTTACTGCCTTTCTTGCAGCAGTCAAGCAAACCATCATGGTCATTAAGTGAATCCATGATTGTGAAATGAATATCATGGTCATTAAGCAAACCCAAGATTCACTATGCGGTGTTTGTGTCAAAATTGGAAATAAAAGCTATTTTTCAGCAAAACATTATAAATTACAGTCATGTGATTGCAGTTGCCAAGAGCCCAAAAAAATGTGGTCAGATGACAGTGGTGTGTGTGTGTGTGTTGTGTGGCCTTTGGCACCAGATTGCAAATACCTTTGAGGACAAAGATCAAAACTTCAAATTGAACTGCCACTTATACAGCCTGATGCCCTTTTTCAGTTTTTAGACTAGGGGTGTCAAATTTGCGATAACATATCATCACGAGATGTGTCCCTTTTTTCCCCTTCCCTAAAATGGGGGTGGGGTGGCCAGCATGTGACGCATCAACCCATGGGCCGCAAGTTTGACACCCCTGTTTTAGAGCATGCATTCCATACATAAAAGGCATTTCTGTAGGAGATATGCCAAGAAGCACACCAATCTCAATGCTCCAAGTCATGCCCCTCTAATGGTTGCACAGCTCTAATCAATCTGAATATTGGACAGGGACAGGATGGCTGGATGAATGTGTATTAATGTGTGTGTGTGTGTGCGCGCGTGTGTGCATGTGTGTGTTTCTTTTTATGAACTGTTAATCCCTTTTATCAGGGTGGAGTTCGGGGAGGTTAAATGGAGCTGAGCATATATAATATTTATCTTTATATATTCAGCCTTTCTGTCCAGATTATCTTAATTTCCAGATCATTAATTTTTCTTTATTTTCTTCAGTTTGGTCAATTTAGTTTTTACTGTTATTTTATTTAATTTAAATTGCCATCCACACTGCTTTTTTAGTGAACAGTATATCAATAAGGAACAATGAAAAAAATAGTATAGAGAAAGAATGGCAACCAAGAATAATCTATCAACAATAAACTATCAATATCTCATGGGGTCAACCAACTTCCTGACCCACACAAAGGGGAGAACAACCCAGTCTTAAGTATTTTTTGAAAGCCAGCTACACCTGACAACAAATGCACACATACTACAAAAATACTCATTCTTATAACCTTTAACTGGGTGAAACAGTGCATCATAGGGCAACAATATATGAACCAAGGCATCTCAAATGGGCTAACTTACACAATGTACCCAAAATCCTGAAGACCTGAACCCAAATTTCCCATAAAGTTGAAATTTGGCCAATGTTATTAAACATTTTATGACATAATAATTATCATAAAACAGTTTATGACAGAATAAAAAATGTTAGAAAACATTTATTTTGCTGATGTTGGACTGTGCTACACAGTTCAACATGAACATGATATATCTCTGAATATCTCCCTGAATTTTTAAGAACTTTTGAAGCATATCAGAAGTTCTGCCTTTTTATAGGCATTGACGAATCGGGTAAGGAAATATCTCTGAAACAATGGCCTAGAAGGGAACTAGTTGCCTAGTAAATTCCTATACTCTAATTACCCAAAGTGTCAATCAAATGTCATCAATCCAATATTCTGCCATGCGCTATTCATTACACAATACCACTTCAAGAATAGCTCTGCAAGCTTGAACTTTGCACACTTCCTTAAGGTCAGACCTGGATATTTCATTTAAATTACTCTTA